AAGAGAATAGACAGTTGGTAAAAATCCAACGGCAAAGACACCCGGCCCCGGGGAGTTTCTGCTTTGCATCTCGACAATTGCTATTTTACTTCCTCTGAAATATATCAATTCTTGGCTTTAGAGGAACAGACACATTCTCAAAGAAATCTTCAAACCGCTCAAACTTATGAAGGTCAGCATTAAAGGATTCAAAGCAATCATTTTTTTGTTTTCTTTTCTGGCTTTATCATGTCTGAACTGTTTTATGGCAAAAACAAGCTTCCTTCTGCTTCAGACCGATCTTAAAGAAATACTATACCTTTTAATAGATAGATAGATGGATACTTTATTTCTCTGTTGCTACGGTTACTCTTCTGAGCGGCCATCATACAAGCGTAAACATGAGGCCACAGTGTAACCATACACTGTAAATATTAACGGACATAGTCAGGCCTATCTCCACCGCTGAAACTAATGTGACATCACTTTCGCCTTCTGTGGGGCTTTTTCTAAATGGCCGCAGGGGCTGGAAAAAGGGGAAAAACACATCTGCGCCTGCGTTAGATGCACCAACCCCATTCAGAGTGCATTCTAAAGTCCACAGCGACTAAACTAGACTGGTCCAGAACACTCCCTCAGCATTGACACACATGTGGAACGGAGCTTTGGGCCAAGAGACAACTTTTGGTCCATCCTGTATAGACGTTTTCGAGAAGTAAGAAGATGCTATATGTTAGCATTGGCTAATTCTTATTCCAGGTCCACCCCCACAGGCCCGGGGTGGTACTGCAGCATGTCAGCGCACGTCATTTTGGCCACTTTGTACAACCCACACTGGTTGTAACTCAGAGTAGCAGTCGTTTAAATACAGCTATATACAAATACAAATGTCAGAAAGCATCCTGTGGAACTCCGAAACGCTGCATGTATTTTAGCAGCATTAGCAAAGTGGATATTGGCCTGTACAATTCAAGATGGCCGCCGTGGTTCAGTCACACAGTCTGGCAGCTCCTGTGTGTGCTCCACAAAAGCTTTTTAAAAGCATAGAAAGACCATGGCAAATGTCATTTTCCTATCTGTTACTTGTTCTTGTATCTCTATACCGGTTGGTGTGCCTAACATGTCCCCGAAGAATGGACAAAAATCAGGTTCTCTGCCCTGCCAAGATGACTCACCACTTTCTCTACACAAAAGTACTGGATGATGGCCATGCAAGACCACCTCCAGGTAAAAATGGACTATCATCTAAACCTTTTTTGGGTATTGTACATCTCATGATGATATTGCTCCTGGCGGGCGATGTTGAGATAAATCCTGACCCTCATTCATTGGACCACATGGATGCTATACAGACACAGATAACTCCACTATATTATCAGCAAACTGGATCTCTTGCACCAACAAAGGGATTACAGCTGCTACTTGGACTACACCCAATACTCACTGTGCTGCACCCAGAGCTTATGGAATGCCCACCATTACTAGCTGGGCTTCCTCCACTGCTACCTGGACGTCCACTGTTACTTGGGCCTCCTCCACTGCTACCTGGGCCTCCACTGCTACCTGGGCCTCTATTGCTTCCTGGGCCTCCTCCCCTGTTACCTGGGCCTCCTCCACTGCTAGCTGGGCCTCTTCTACTGTTACCTGGGTCTCTTCCTCTGTTACCTGGGCCTCTATTGCTTCTTGGGCCTCCTCCACTGGTACCTGAGCCTCCTCCACTGCTAGCTGGGCCTCCTCCATTGCTGGCTGGGCCTCCTCCACCTGTATCTGGAGTACATTCAACGCCTGCCAGATTAACCACCACCGAGGAGGAGATGGCTTCATCAGGTCAGACAAATTTAATCACAGACTTTAATTCCCTAATCAGCAATACAGAAGACCAGATGAGAGGTAGCCAGGCCAAATTGCCTTTGCAGTGTGTAACTGCTAATTTGCAATATGGAAAACTCTCTAAAAAACGAAATCCCATTTTGAAGAGACATTGTACACAAAAATTCTTTCAGACACTGAATCAATCAAGGACTATTTGGGACCCACTTTTTAAGCCCAGAGGTCTACTGGGTGGACACTTGAATGTTCGAAGCATAATACCAAAACGAGAACAAATGGAACATTTATTGATTCAATCAAATGTTGACTTTATTGGGTTCACAGAAACTTGGTTAACAACCTCTTCACCTGAGGCAGCCATAACTATGGCAGGATACAATGTATTTAGAAAGGACAGGGATCAAGGTAGAGGAGGGGGGGTTATGATCTATGTAAGAGATAGACTTAAATGTTCACAGATTATATGGCCTGAGGAAATTGCACTCGAGTGCGTTGGGGTAAATATTGAACTCTCTAAGGAAATGAGTTTCCAGGTTATTTGCATCTATCGAAAACCCTCAACTAATGTAGAATTCTATGATCAGTTGAAGCTGCTTCTGAAGTCCTGCAGTCCAAATAAAGAGATAATATTAATTGGTGATTTTAACATTAACTGGGATAATAAGAAAGAGAGGAAAAACTTAAAACGGGTAACTGACCTTTTTAATTTGGTCCAATTAGTTGAAATGCCAACTCGTGTAACCAATCAATCTAAAACCACAATAGATCTAATATTTACAAATAAAGCTGAACGAATCATAAAAACATATAATTTTTTAACTGGTCTTTCTGACCATAACGCAATATTTTTTACCAGGAAACTAACTAAAATGCGTTTTAAAAGATCCTGTACATCTGATCATGGCTCTTCTTTTTATAATGTTATCCCAAAAAATCAATTACAAAATCTAGAAAGAGCCATGAAGGACACGGATTGGAATGAAATTGTTGCATGCGGTGATGTTTCAATAAGTAGTACTACTTTCCACTCCAAAATCAGTGAGGTCATAGCTTCCTTCACAAAAAGGTTGAAGAAAAATCAAACCAGTAAATCAAACCTACCATGGCTTGGTGAAAAAGTAATGCGCAAAGCTAAAGCAAATTTCTATGTGTCAGTTATTGAGTCTGCCAATGGTAATGGCAAAAAGGTCTGGGAAACCATAAATAAAATAACTGGCAGAGGGGCCAACAAAGACAGTGAAGTAGTACTACAAATTGAAAGCCAGTTGGTGAAAGATCCAGCCACTGTGGCAATGGAATTTAATAACTTTTTTAAAGACTCAGTCTCTGAAATTTCGCAACTTTTTACATTACATGAAAATGTCACCTATCCGGTGAATGAGTCCTTACCTATTTTCACAATAGCAGAAATTAATGAGACTGAAGTAGCATCAATTATAAAAGGTTTGAAAAACTCTAAAGCAAAGGACGTCTATGGGATAGATGCCAATTTTATAAAGGCTCATAAAGATATTTTAGTGTGTCCAATCACTCGTATGATAAATATATCAGACATTCTATTGTACCAACAGCTTGGAAAGTTACTCCAATTACTCCAATCTTTAAGTCAGGGAATAAGAATAATGTAAATAATTACCGGCCAATTAGCATTTTGCCCATTATTTCAAAAATTATAGAAAAATGGGTTGCTAAACAATTGACAACTCATTTAGACAAGGGTCATACGCCTCTGCATCCCATGCAGTTTGGTTTTCGTGCCAAATACTCAACAGAAAGTGCGATAAATCTGTTTTTAGAAAAAGTGAAACATGGTTTAGATTATTGTCCTGTTGTTGGAGCTGTTTTTCTTGATTTAAAGCGAGCATTTGATACAGTTGACCACCAAATTTTATTATCTAGACTAACAAAGTTTAATTTCTCAGAACAAGCCGTAACTTGGATGAAGTCATACCTGTCAACTCGAACTCATTGTGTGACAGTCAGTGGTATCAAATCTACGTTTCTAAACTGTCAGGTTGGAGTTCCACAGGGTTCCATACTTGGACCCATACTGTTTTCATTATATATTAATGACTTACCAAATATTTGTCCACATTTCCATACCCAGCTTTATGCAGATGATGCAGTCATTTTTACCAATGCAAAATCTAATGCCGAAGTCTCCGAAAAATTGACTTCAGCAATGTGTTGCATTGATGAGTGGCTCAGTAAGTCTTGTCTTTTACTGAATTCAAAGAAAACTGTGTGTATGTTTTTCTCCAAACGCCCAACAGCAAGAATAAGCTCAAATGTATTTATAAAAGGTGAGGAGCTACAGATTGTGGACAAGTTTAAATATCTTGGTGTTATCTTAGACTCAACGTTATCTTTTAAAAATCATGTTAAGCATATGTGTAAAATTGTAAATTTTAATCTTCGTAATTTTAGACAAATCCGAACATTACTGCCAGAAAATGCAGCTAAAATGTTTCTTCATTGTATGATCTTTTCACATATTGAATATTGCATTACTAACTGGTCACTGACGAGTCTGACTACTTTAAAACCAATTGAGTCTCTATATAAAAAAGCTTTAAAAATATTTGATAAAAAACCATATTCATTTCATCATTGCTTAATACTTGAAAAATATAATATTCTAAACTTTGAAAATTTTAGAACATTTAAAATGGCTTGTTCAGTTTATAAGATTTTGCATGGACTCTCTCCACCATCCTTGAATGAATTAGTGATGTAAAGTTTGATTCAGATTCATTTTACTGACTCGAGTTAAAGTGAATCACTCACCAAAGTGAATCGGGTGTTTTGAGTCATTTGATTCAGTGATTCAGTTGTTCAGAAAAAAACATACATGAACACAAAATAATGCTAAAATGGCAATTTACAATCAAAACATTTATTAAAATTTGATAAATGGTAACAATAACAAATATGTAAACTAATTTGACAAAATATAAACTCTTTAAATTCAACAATTCAACAGTAAAATTGTGAACAAAACCTTAAACAACCTTGCAGAGTTAACATTTTGCTCGTGATGGGCCTGTTATTTCAAAGTGCATCCAAATATCGCTTCTTCTGCGGCTACTATCCATTTTCTATAAAAATATTTAAAACTTTCCGCCAAAAATGTGGTGTTACATAAATGTATTCCGTGTTAAAACCTACATTCCTGGTAAAAAAAAAAAAAAAAAGTCATAACAATTATATTATATAAATAATAAATACAAACAACTTTGATATTTTTCACACATTCATTTTTTATTGATGACAATCATTGTAACGCCAATAATGTTCGAGGCGGAACTCCTGTTGTCCGACGAGAGAAACACAGCTGAACAAATAACTTAATAAATAGCCAATTATATTTTTCAATCTACCTCACATAAAACGTGTAGAGGGTTATTATTTTTTGTCAGATGGGGCAAAAGAAACTACTTTTTTCAACCCAGTTAGAGAACGAGAGTTACGAGACGAGTCGGTGTCCTGTCCTCAGTGTCCTGTTGTTTCGACTCGCTTGATGCTGAGTGAGTGAGTGAGTGAGTCAGATCAGATGAACGATTCGTTCAGAGCTGAACGACTCGAAGGGGAGCGGGAAGGGGCTGATCCAGAACCACAGTGAGTCGTTCACTGCTCGTACGGCTCGTACTAGCAGGCGCGGGCAGGCAGGAAGGAGGACGTTACGGTGAAGTAGATGGTTGTAAACAATAAGCTTTTGGTTTCTGTGCTCAAACGAGCTACAGTACACACACACACAGTCACACACGTAATATTAGAGTGTCATTCATTGTGGCTAGTAGAAAACGCAGTCTGGGGGTCGCAGTTTAGAAAGTGGTGGGCGGACGAGTTAGTGAACGAGTTAATGGAGGCGGGGAATCACGACTCCCGAGTCAGTAAAGTGAATCTCGAGTTTTGAACGATTCGTTCACGAATCGCATATCACTAGAATGAATTCATTAAGTTCATATCCAGTACAAGTGGTAGAGTGACCAGAGCCACCACCAGAGGTGACTGTGTGGTTCCTTATAGACGCACAGCGTTTAGTCAACAGGTGCTGTCAGTGAAAGGGACCACGGTATGGAACAGCATCCCAGCAGAAATTCGAGACTGTACTACATTCATAGTATTTAAAACTAAACTTAAAGGTTGGCTGAAGGGGAATCAGACATGTAACCACTGACCAGTATCTTTGTTTTATGTCTCCAGTTTAATTGTGTGGATGATTTGTGTGATGATCTTTTGTCTTTTAAATGTCGTATATTAGTCTTTGTATTTTCTTGATCTGCCAGGGACTACATATGGAAAGTAGCCATTGGCTAATTCTGGCATATTTACATTTACATGTTCATTAATATGCATTGACCCTTTAAATAAATAAAAAAAAAAATTATTGTGTTGCTTGCTCTGAACATAGACTCAACACAAATATATAGAATCCTCAAATGTTCCGTGCAAATCCTCCTTTCTCCAACACGACCACCGTACGTTTACCTTTGTAGGATTCTCTTCTCTCCTTGAGCCATATCGATGACTCACTGCTTTTTCCTCTTTTTGTCACAAACGCAATCTCTGTCAACACAGCTGTCGAAGAGCCACAAGTTTCCCATTATGCCACTTCCGAGGCGTAATCTTCAATGGACTTATTTCTCTTTTCTCCCCATCTGCTTTCTGTCGCAGTGTGTGGGAAGATCACGTTTTTGCTTTTTCCCCCACACAGAATGTAGCGTAGCATTTGGCTCACAGCGCGGCTAAATTAGTGACTATTGCATGGAATGGTGCTGACAGTGAGGATACTGTTATACTGTCCTTTCGGCAAATCTCCTGCAGTTCAGTTTTCCATTTAAAGCCGGGATACCTAATTTTCAACCCACTAGAAATAAAATCTATCGGACAAGTTTGGGGCTCTCTTAACAGTTTTCACATGTGCAGTAAGTATCTTTGGCCTCTGTCACTCCTTAGATCAGCTTTTTCATAACCGAGGACCACCCTCACTCAGCCAATCAGCTCTCAGCATGTTTTCTAAGAATCTGAAGGCCTTCACACATATTTACAGCTGAGGTATCAAATGTATTCTGGCTCAGCCCAAACATCCTCTGATCGCTGACTTTGCATTGATGCCTTCAGGGTGTTGTTTTTATGCTCCAGCACGAAAAACAAACCGTTTCTCCAATTCTTTTGTGCCCTCTGCCATAAAACTGTTGAACTCTGGTCGAGGTGGTTGACTTTTTGGGAATTGTGTAGTTCATTGTTGTTTTTTAACTTATTTTGTGTAACCTGCTGCTGTGTGAACTGTGAGACTCACTGTGTTTGTGTAGAGTATGTGTGTTGTGCTTTGAGTTTATGCTGCAAATGAATTGCCCTTTGGGATCAATAAAGTTTTCTGAATCTGAACCTGAGGTATCCCAGCTTTAACGTTTGTATCTATGTGACAACAATGGCTTTGAGCTCCATTCATGTTTCTGCATTCATTTATATCCATCTTCCTGATCCGTCATCTCACAAAAGAGGTATTTTCTTTTCTTATTGGACAATTGTGTCATCTCCAAATGAGTTGTGTTCAGTTCTTGGATCCTCTGGGTCCAGGACTGCTCTGAAAACCAGATTCTGAAACCTCAGCGGGACTATCCTGGTTAAAAAGGGCAATAAATAAACATGTGAGAGGAGAGAGACTTCGGACATCTGCCCCCTATGGACCAACGGCTCTATGTGTTTTTATCACTGCATTCCCTGTGTTTGACCTGTCTGATTCTCTGATCTGTGTCGGTGAATCGACAGCTTTGTTAAGTCCTCCGAGATAACTACTGTTGTGATTCAGGGCGATACTAAAATACATTGAATAGAAATGTGTACAGAAACAGATCTGCGTTTTTTCCCCCGGCAGGAAGTGAGCTCTGACTGTCGCCAAAACTTGATTCTGATTGTTTATGTCAGTGTCAGATTTATTCGTGTAGCACATTTACAACAACAGCAGCTGCCCAAAGTACTTCACAGGAACAAAAGATGAGAAAAAAACATGTAAAAATGAAGTGTTTTTAGACTAGATTTAAACCTCTAACCTCAAATACACAGGGCTAAACTAAACACACACAAAAACACAAGCCGCCAATTTGACTGCTCTACTGCTTCTTTGTTGTGTGTCATCTTTGGTTCAAACCCGGGCAAACAATCGCCGCACACCTATGTATAGAGTGAGGCTCCGTGCGCCCAGATCCCTCCTGTTTTAATTGGAGATCCGGTAATGGCTGCAGGGAACGCAGATTTGTCATGGGAAATAAAACACGGCAGAGTAAGAATAAACTTCCTGGCACGGGAGGAAGCACAGCTGTTGCTATGGGAGGCTAATTTATGAGTCCACTTTAGGAAATGCAAAATGACAGCGCGCTTTGAGAAACGCTTTGTCGAGAGCAGGAGACGAGCCAGGTACGGAGCAGTGATGGATGACGGAGGTGGAGGCGGAGGCGGAGGTGGAGGCGGAGGTGGAGGTGGAGGCAGAGGTGGAGGTGGAGGCAGAGGTGGAGGTGGAGGCAGAGGCAGAGGCGGAGGTGGAAGTGGAGGCAGAGGTGGAGGTGGAGGTGGAGGCAGAGGTGGAGGTGGAGGTGGAGGCAGAGGCGGAGGTGGAAGTGGAGGCAGAGGTGGAGGTGGAGGTGGAGGCAGAGGTGGAGGTGGAGGTGGAGGCAGAGGTGGAGGCGGAGGTGGAGGCGGAGGTGGAGGCGGAGGTGGAGGTGGAGGCAGAGGCGGAGGCAGAGGCGGAGGTGGAGGCGGAGGTGGAGGTGGAGGTGGAGGTGGAGGCAGAGGCCCATGTTCACGCCACCGCTACCACCATCGCCATAACCACAGCATTCGTGAGGTTGACGTTGCGTTAGCGTGCAGAAGAATACATAATTAAAATGAGTCTTGATTCTGCAAAGTGACAGTAGTGCAGGTGATTTTGTAACGCCCACAAAGGCTCTTGCTAAATGTTCAATCAGGTGAAATTCTTTATTTTACAACCAATTTTGTGAATCAGGCCTGTTTTGTGTTATTTGTGGTCAATTGGTATTATTATTATTGCCTATTGATGGTGTCATTTGGACTCAAGTTTGGACACTTTCTCATTCAATGAGGTTCCTTTCTTTTCATGACTATTGGTGTAGACCCGCACCAGGCTGTGTAAGGGCTGTTTGACCAATAAGGAGAGAGACCGGACCTGAACCCAGTCCAGATGGTTTTGGACCTGAACCCAGTCCAGATGGTTTTGGACCTGAACCCAGTCCAGATGGTTTTGGGGCTGGACCACAGAGTGAAGGGGTCAACAAGTGCTAAGCATCATGGGAACTCCTTCCAGACTGTTGGAGACCATTTCAGGTCCTGTTGAAGCTCATACAGAGAATGGCAAGAGTGAAGCAGTATCCTGGTCTTATCCATCCGTACACTCCGTTCAATCATCATGTCCTGCAGGTAACGTCTGGGTCTGGTCCCTGTGTTTGCAATTACTATTGGTTGAATTTCGACCGACCAATCAGAGAGCGCGGGAGGCGGGTGTTGTAGTTAGATGTCGGTGACGTCAAGAGTTTGCGTCGATCGAGCAGGTTGTAGTTTGGTGAAGACTGTGATAGTAAAGTATTCTGGTCTGGTTCTATCAAGAAACTGAAGCCGGCAGTTAGCGGCAAAGAAGATGGCTAAAGCTAGGCTAAAGGCTAAAGCTAGGCTAAAGGCTAACGTCTTACTTGGGCTCATTACGTACGTCACAGTAAACTCAGATCCAATGGTTTCAATCTGCAAAAGGAGTTAGCCCCTCCCACCTGTTACGGAGTCAATGGAGACAATCCAGACCTAAGTACAAAATGTAATTTGTACTATGGTGTGGTACGACCAGGCTAGCGAAGCAGTAATCTGAGCAAAAGGTGCTACTTTGAAGAACCTTGAATATAAGACATATTTTCAGTTCTTTCATACTTTTTTTTTGTACGTACATAATTCCTGAGTTAACTCATTGTTTTGAATCCTTCAGTGTCAATCTAAATTTTTCATAATTATGAAAATAAAAAAACTCTTGAGCATTGGGAGCAGCTCTCATTTCCCTCTCATTTTTATAATAACTATGTTTTATAATAACATAGTTGGATTATTGTGCAGAAAATGTTGCATACTTTCATGATAATGCCACACTTAAGGCCACACTTTCCCAGCTCTGCAAAATGTTGATCTATTCAAGTCAAATGCCTTTTCTTCTTGGTGCATGATTGAAGTTAGCCGTGAAAGCAGTAAATCAGCATCAGACTTTAGAACGAGGAAGTGTGCAGAGGTGAGCGGGGATTCTTACCAACCAGCAGGAGCTACACGAGAGAGGCTTATCCCTTTTTGTCTTGAAGAAAGCAATGTACTTTTTTCTTTCTTGGATTTTCTAAGATGTAGGACAATCATGTGTTTCACGTTTTTGTTTTATTTTTTCAACCCCTCTTTTTTTGTAAATTATAAGCCTTTACCAAGTGTTTGAGATGGAGTTTGATGATAGAAGTGTCTAAAACCGAGTGAGATGCCCCAAAGAGGTGTATTTCAGTTTCAGGCTTAAAGTCGATGTACGGACTCAAAATGTGATCTGCCAAATGTTTGAGGAAACCATTAATACATTACATTACAATGCATTTTTCTATAGCCCTAAATCACAACGGCAGCTCTCTCAGAGGACTTAAAGAAGCTATACCCGATTTATTTTCTAATGAGTTCTTAAAAATGCTTATTACTACAGACAAGTTGTATTATAATCTGTAATGTAATGTAAAACGTGATCTCATTGATTCAGCTGTGTTTTCAGGAGACAGTGTGTTTTCAGGAGACAGTGTGTTTTCAGGAGACAGTGTGTTTTCAGGAGACAGTGTGTTTTCAGGAGACAGTGTGTTTTCAGGAGACAGTGTGTTTTCAGGAGACAGTGTGTTTTCAGGAGACAGTGTGTTTTCAGGAGACAGTGTGTTTTCAGGAGACAGTGTGTTTTCAGGAGACAGTGTGTTTTCAGGAGACGGTGTGTTTTCAGGAGACAGTGTGTTTTCAGGAGACAGTGTGTTTTCAGGAGACAGTGTGTTTTCAGGAGACGGTGTGTTTTCAGGAGACAGTGTGTTTTCAGGAGACAGTGTGTTTTCAGGAGGACAGTGTGTTTTCAGGAGACAGTGTGTTTTCAGGAGACAGTGTGTTTTCAGGAGACAGTGTGTTTTCAGGAGACAGTGTGTTTTCAGGAGACAGTGTGTTTTCAGGAGGACAGTGTGTTTTCAGGAGACAGTGTGTTTTCAGGAGACAGTGTGTTTTCAGGAGACAGTGTGTTTTCAGGAGACAGTGTGTTTTCAGGAGACAGTGTGTTTTCAGGAGACAGTGTGTTTTCAGGAGACAGTGTGTTTTCAGGAGACAGTGTGTTTTCAGGAGACAGTGTGTTTTCAGGAGACAGTGTGTTTTCAGGAGACAGTGTGTTTTCAGGAGACGGTGTGTTTTCAGGAGACAGTGTGTTTTCAGGAGACAGTGTGTTTTCAGGAGGACAGTGTGTTTTCAGGAGACAGTGTGTTTTCAGGAGACGGTGTGTTTTTCAGGAGACAGTGTGTTTTCAGGAGACAGTGTGTTTTCAGGAGACAGTGTGTTTTCAGGAGACAGTGTGTTTTCAGGAGACAGTGTGTTTTCAGGAGACAGTGTGTTTTCAGGAGACAGTGTGTTTTCAGGAGACGGTGTGTTTTCAGGAGACGGTGTGTTTTCAGGAGACGGTGTGTTTTCAGGAGACGGTGTGTTTTCAGGAGACAGTGTGTTTTCAGGAGACAGTGTGTTTTCAGGAGACAGTGTGTTTTCAGGAGGACAGTGTGTTTTCAGGAGGACAGTGTGTTTTCAGGAGACAGTGTGTTTTCAGGAGACAGTGTGTTTTCAGGAGACAGTGTGTTTTCAGGAGACAGTGTGTTTTCAGGAGACAGTGTGTTTTCAGGAGACAGTGTGTTTTCAGGAGACGGTGTGTTTTCAGGAGACGGTGTGTTTTCAGGAGACGGTGTGTTTTCAGGAGACAGTGTGTTTTCAGGAGACGGTGTGTTTTCAGGAGACAGTGTGTTTTCAGGAGACAGTGTGTTTTCAGGAGACAGTGTGTTTTCAGGAGACAGTGTGTTTTCAGGAGACAGTGTGTTTTCAGGAGACAGTGTGTTTTCAGGAGACAGTGTGTTTTCAGGAGGACAGTGTGTTTTCAGGAGACAGTGTGTTTTCAGGAGGACAAGTGTGTTTTCAGGAGACAGTGTGTTTTCAGGAGACGGTGTGTTTTCAGGAGACAGTGTGTTTTCAGGAGACAGTGTGTTTTCAGGAGACAGTGTGTTTTCAGGAGACAGTGTGTTTTCAGGAGACAGTGTGTTTTCAGGAGACAGTGTGTTTTCAATCAATCAATCAATCTTTATTTATAGGGCGCTTTTCCTGCACAGGGCAACACAAAGCGCCTCACAGTCCACACCACACAATGCACAAATCATCACCATTAAAATACAATTAAAAACACATATGTAATTAAAAAGCATTAAAATCACATAAGTAATTTAAAAACATAAGAATCACACAAGTAATTAAAAACAATAAAATAGTTAAAAACACAAAAAGTTACAACAATAAATAAAAAGGTGTGTTAAAAAGATAAAATTCTCTAGTTGTATGCACAGGAAAAAAGAAAAGTCTTTAACATGGATTTGAACATTGACAGAGAGGCAGCCAGTCTCACATCCTCAGGAAGACTGTTCCAGACTTTAGCTGCATAAATCTGAAAAGCAGCCTCCCCCTGTCTAGTCCTGACTCTGGGCACTAACAGGAGTCCCGTCCCTGCGCTCCTCAGAGTCCGGGCTGGTTCATATGGGACTAGCATATCATGGATGTACTTTGGTGCAAGGCCATGGAGAGACTTGTACACCAGGAGAGCTGCTTTAAAGTCTATCCTCTGGGCCACGGGAAGCCAGTGCAGAGACCTGAGGACCGGACTAATGTGGTCGTACTTCCTGGTTCTAGTCAGGACTCGGGCTGCAGCATTTTGAATATACTGCAGCTGTTTTACTGCATGTTTGGAGATACCTGTGAGCAGGCCATTGCAGTAATCCAGCCTACTGGAAACAAAAGAATGGATAAGAATCTCCAAGTCTGCTTTGGACACAATATTTTTAATTTTGGCAATATTTTTCAGATGATAAAAAGCTGCTGATGTTACCGATCCAATGTGGCTATTGAAGTTTAAGTCAGAGTCCATTATTACTCCCAGATTTCTGACCTTATTTAAGGGCCTTAGGGAGAGAGACTGAAGGTGATAAATGACGGTCTCTCTTTGTTTCTCGGGACCAAAGACAATCATTTCGGTTTTGTCCGCATTTAGCTGGAGAAAATTGCATTGCATCCACTCACTGATCCGCTGGATACAGCGAAGGAGTGAGTCCACCGGCCCATGCTCTCCTGCAGTCAGTGAGACATAGATCTGAGTGTCATCAGCGTAATTGTGGTAGGACACTTTCATACTTTGAATTAACTGACCTAATGGCAGCATGTAAATATTGAACAGGAGAGGTCCCAGTTTTCAGGAGACAGTGTGTTTTCAGGAGACAGTGTGTTTTCAGGAGACAGTGTGTTTTCAGGAGGACAGTGTGTTTTCAGGAGGACAGTGTGTTTTCAGGAGGACAGTGTGTTTTCAGGAGGACAGTGTGTTTTCAGGAGACAGTGTGTTTTCAGGAGACAGTGTGTTTTCAGGAGACAGTGTGTTTTCAGGAGACAGTGTGTTTTCAGGAGACAGTGTGTTTTCAGGAGACAGTGTGTTTTCAGGAGACAGTGTGTTTTCAGGAGGACAGTGTGTTTTCAGGAGGACAGTGTGTTTTCAGGAGGACAGTGTGTTTTCAGGAGACAG